TGCAGACAACTCGACTGTAGCCCAGTGAGACCCATGTCAGACTTCGGACCTCCAGGATGGGAGGAAAGGAGGTTCTTGGTTGTTTCAAGCCTCTAGGCTGGGGGTAATGGGCTACAGTGGCAGCAGGAAGCTAATATGCCTCCCACCGAAACCTCATCACCTGTTTGCTCCATGAGGTCAGAAGGACGTCCGTCTCAACCACCACTCGGTCTGGGACTCGGTCCCAGGCCTTGATGGTGAACACCTAAATTTTGGAACTAGAGAGGACCAAGAAACCAGTCAGCCCAACCAATCATTGTAAGTGAGTGAAAACTGAAGTCCAGAGAAAGGAAATGACTTGCTCAAGGCTACTCAACTTAAACCATCCTAGGCCATCACTATACTTTCTGCTTCTTGAGCCGGAGATGCCCCAGGACAGACTCCGCTCCCACTCATCCTCAGCCAGGCACTTTGAGGGCACCAGAAATCCCTGGGGAGGGGCGCCTGGGTGGCTCAGTGGGTTAAAGCCTCTGCCTTCGGCTCGGGTCATGGTCCCAGGGTCCCGGGATCGAGCCCTGCATCAGGCTCTCTCCTCAGCGGGGAGCCTGCTTCCTCTTCTCTCTCTGCCTGCCTCTCTGCCTACTTGTGATCCCTGTCTGTCAAATAAATAAATAAAATCTTAAAAAAAAAAAAAGAAAAGAAAAGAAAAGAAATCCCTGGGGAACTCATGACAGCTTGGAAAATACAAATGTAAGCCAGGTAGGGCCAGGAGAAGATGTCTAAAATGACAGAAAAAATTCACCCAGAACTATGAGAGCAGACCTGGGCCAGACCCCTACCTGGTCTGCTCAGTTAGCAAGATGTTTCCACCTGAAGTTTTAAAAAGGCTCCTCGGGCACCTAGCGAATGGCACACATGAAGTCTGCTTTCAAGAAGCTTAGCATTTCGTGCCTCTGCCTAGAGCCAAAGCTTTGGGCCAATTAAGAAAAGGTACTTCTTCCACACGACATCTTTAACCATCTGTCAGAAAAAAACTGTCATAATATACCGAGTCCATCAGAAAAAGATACTTTACTCCACATCTGCAGGAAACTATTTGAGATTGACTCATACACATGACCCCAGCTGTGAAGTAAACAGTACCCCCTTGCGTGGAAAGCCCTTGTGCAGTGCACAACTTGCAGAAGCATACCCAGCAGCCCCGCTTGGCACTCTGGTCTCATCCCCTTCATTGACCTTTTCTCCTCCCTGCCCCCACTCCAGCCCTCAGGCCCACTGGAGAACAACCTTGACCTTATCATTCACCATTTTATGCATCATTGGAGAACAATCTTGACCTTATAGCTTATCATTTTATGTATGATTCCTCCCCTCCTGCAGACAGAGGGCGTTGAAGAGGAACAAGAGAAGGCCGGTAGTCCCATTTAGGGAAACACCTGAGACGAGAGGCAGGATTTGTGAATTCTAACTGAATGAATGTCCACGGGCCAGGAGACCGTCCAGGCCCACAGCACAGGCCATGGAGAAATCTCACCCACTAACTAGCTGGGTGAAGCTGAGTAGTACACTCTTTCTGCTTCCGCAAACCTCATTTTCCTTTCTGTGAAATGGGTATCACCTCAGGACTGCTGGGAAGGTCTAAGAAAGGACAGGAGTTCATGCTCAGTGCCTTGAAAGGGCTCCATACCTGTGAGCTATTTTTATGATTACTCTGGGCATCATCGACTCCAGGATATCTGCCTTGCAGGCCGTCAGCCTTCCGGGCAGTATGTGCTTTAAACAAAACTGGGACAACCCAGGTTTCTAAGAGGAGACGACATGGCTGGGAGGAGTGGGGCGAGTGTCAAAAAGAGAAAGCCTTACTCACTGCACCAATGTACCCACCACTGGATAAATAGAAAAATCTAACCTCTTTCAATCAGAATTGGCTTTGTTGGGGGACAATCTCTGACTCGTGGTGGAATGAGCCCAATTTTTCCTCCCGGCTGGCCTCCTCCACCTCTTGGGCCCCAGACATCCCGTGGCCAAGGTATGACCAGGTACTTCCAAGGAGGGACAAGCCCAGCTTTGGAGTGAGAGGAACACTGGTTGGGAGCCATGTCCCTCTCTGTTTGCCCCAGGAGGGCAGTCACAGAACCTGCCTCTCGGGGCAGCCAGGTAGCAGGTGGGGGGGTCCGTGAGACGACGCTGTAAAGCCCCTGGTCTGAAGGGGTATGTTATTGCTCTCAGCTGGGAGACTTTGGCGCAAGACAGGGCTGGTGACAGAGGAGACACTACGAAGCCCCTGCTCCCACTCCCCTTTGTTTCTTCCCACCCCTGTCCATAAGCCCACAGTTCTGACGTGGCTGTCCCCTCCATCTGGCCAGACTGCTGAATCCTACCTTTCTGACAGAATTACCAAATGCATTTTTCTTTCAGATTGCTACGAGTTTCACTTAGAACGAACTCAGCTGTAAGTAAAATCCCTTCCTGACAGTGGCTGAAACGATAAAGTTGTTTAATGGTCTTTTGCAACAAGTCACCAAGTCATCCACAAAAATGTCCCCGAGGCTTTTTTTAATAACTTTTCTGGGGCCACCTGGGTCGCTCAGTCGGTTAAGTGTTTGACTCTTGATCTCGGCTTAGGTTTTGATCTCACAGTGGTGAGTTCGAGCCCCACGCTAGGGCTACACATGACACCTTCTTAAAAAAGAAGCCGTCCCCCGTGTGCCAGCTTCTGGCCCCTGAGACTTATCACCTCAGGGCGGCCTTGGCTCCGTCACCTGCCAGTGGCTGGAAGAAAGGGAAGCTCCTGGTCTTTGTTTCTTTTCTTTTTACACAAGGGAGCAAATGCCCTCCCAGAGTGCTCCTAACAGACCTCCCCTGATATTTCAGGGACCAGAACTGGGTCATCAGCCCCTCCTAAACCAATCATGCCCAGGGGAAATGAGATCTGTCTGGCTGGATTACACCTGTCACAGCTCAACCCCAGAGGCCATGGGAGAGACTCATCTGGAACCGGAATAAGTCAGCGAGAAGGGTGAAGTGCCTGCCCTTTGACATGGTGAGCCCCTCGAGGATCAGAGGAAGTTGCTGAAGCCCAGAGAGGTGAAGCGCCTCAGCCAAGGCCACACAGGACTCTGCAGAAGCGCCAGGATGAAAACACAGCCACGGCTCAAGGAGCAACCCCCACTTCACCACGGCGCTTCTCCGCTAACTCTAGCTCACTCTAAGCCCCCGAAGGGCAGAAACCCCATCCCTGGGACTCCCTGAGCTTGGCCAAAGGCATGATATGGAGAGTCAACACTCTGACCACACAGTCAACACTGTGACAGAAGAGCACCCCCAAGGTACCGAAATATACCCGACCCACCTAGAAAGAGCTTGGCAGGCAGGTCAGCAGGAGCCCAGAGCCTGACAAACAGCATCTCTAGAGCCTCCTGGACACCTGCCAAGCTGCCGCACTCCCCAGGGCTGACCTCATATTTCTTAAGATCCTCAAGATGCCTGAGGCCTGTGTGTTGCCTCTCGGGCTGGAGGCTGGGAGCCACGTGGAGAGGTGGGAATGCTGAATCCCAGCAGCCCACCCCACCACCCACCCCTGTCCCGCCAGGACCTCCTGCCTGTGCTGGGCAGGCCCCATTCCAAAAGAAACTGAGCCACACCCTCCATCCTCCGAAAGGAGGCCTGTCCCAACCGGTCTCCTGCCTCCACCTATCAAAGGGGATCCCTTGAAGAAATTCTCACGCTCTGGCCATTTCTGTCTGTTTTGGTTCCAGACTTCTGGAAGGGGGATGAAAAGCCGGCAGACCTCACCGAGGTACTAAGAATATCTCTAAAGCAAGTTCCACCACCTCAAAGAGAGCTGGAGAGCTCATGGCCCGGCTAAGGTCTGTGTTTTGTGACAGAAGGAATCGTTTACTAAAGCCAGAACCGGATCAGGCACCCGCCTGCGCCTTTCTATGGTAACTAACAGCAAAGGCTCCCCAGTCCACTGAGGCTGCACATGCTGGGGGGCGTGGGGGGAAGCCTCATGCCCTCTGCCTCCACTTCCAGACAGTCTTCCCAGATCAAACAACTTACTGTGGGCCAAGCCCATAGCAGTTAAGGTGAGCAGCCTGAGGCAAGGGCAGGTAGCAAGCCCCCCAGGACACATGAGCTCCCTTCCACCTCTTTCCAAGGCATCTTTCCGCTGTCACCACAACCCACCCGCTCAGCCCTCAGCCCCATAGCACGGCATTTGTTCTCACCCAGGTTCACTGAAAAGTTTTCATTCCCCTGGTAAACAAAACAAACCAAAAAACAAAACAAAACAAACAAAAAAACCCCACAAGGGCTAAAAATCATGTGATGCGGGAGAGGAAAGGTCTCACTTACTTGCCACACTCCCTCTGGCCCGACCCAGGGGAAGCCGACCCAGAAGCTGGCAGTTTTAAACTTTCCTTCCACAAGTTTTTCTCAGAACAGTGGCTCCCACTCCTCAGAGCTGAAAAGTCTGCATGCCTTCAAAGTATGTGAGCTGCAGGGCTGTGCGAACAGAGTGGAATTTTCCATTTATAGAATAATAATCTTCATACCACTCTAGGGGCCGGTGTTCTTGTGGTCAGAGCTTGGAGCTCAGTGTCAGCGAACCTGCCACGCTTCTGCGGGCTCTTTTATTTATTTTTGGTGGGAGAGGGGGAGGAAAAAAAAAGGAATGACTTTTTAACTTGAATGCCAACACAAACTTGAAAAAGGAACTGGATTGGCAAGTGCAGACTATTACTGCCTGGTTTCATGACCTAAATCAACCGTTAGAGAGGAGGAGATGAAGAGGCTGAGAAACATATCTTCAACCCTTCATGCAGACAGGTAGCTAGAAAAGGCATCAAGTTACTGCCCCAGGTCCTTCCCTGTGCCCGCCACCTGGCTTCCCGCCCGCTCGCTGAGGGTGGGGGTCCAAGCAAAAGGCACACGGCCCCATCTCATTTCTCTTCTTTGTTTCCCCCATGTTCCACATTCAGTTTCTGCTGACGCACACACAGACATATAGTCTGAAATACCTTCGGGGTCCATGTGTAACAGGAAGGCCAGCAAGCCGTTCGCGAAGGGCCCTGAGTTCTAGTTCTGGCTGTGACATCGTCACCATGTGACCTTGAAGAAATCCTTCTCTTCTCTGGGTCTCGTTTTCTTCATCTGTAAAGTAAGGCTGGATTGAATGATCCCAAAGGCCCCTTCCACAGCTGACAGTCTGATTCCCTCATTCATTCTCAAGTAAACCAGTGCCAGCGTGAGGTTCTGGGCAGCCCCTCCTGGGCCATTCTAAATCTGCTGGACACAGAGCCAGAAGCATAGCCTCCTGCCTAGTGAGGGCTGTCAGCACCAGCTGCCTCCTGCCCGTTTCTCCAGCCAGAGCACACCACCAGAAAGGGAAAGGAAAGTCCCGACCTGCCCACCTGCCTGCCAGCCCAGTCACCAGAGGCAGCATTTTCCCAGTCCCACAGAACCCTAAAGAATCCTTCCCAGTACCTAAGGCCTTCCCTACCTTCCATTTTTTAAAAGGTGTTGTGTCTTCTCCTAGGAAGGGCATGACCACCCCGCACCCTCCTAAGCATAAATCTTCCAATTTCTTTTCCATCGTTTTTACAAAAATATCTGACTCATTGTAAAATATTAAATTGTGACGCTGAATATGGTTTATTTTTCAAGCTGCACATACAGCCCATTTTTTGATGCAGCCTCCCCTTCACACACACACCAACCCCTGTCAGAGGATGGAAGATATTTTGGCCCAGCCCCCATCCCTACCTAAGTCACCAGCTAATGGCCATCCAGGCTCTGAACACCTGTTGGGAGTCTGCTGCACGATGAAGTCCTGATGCCTCCACTACTTACTACGGCGAGAACCATAACCTGACTCAGCCTCCGAGGTTCGCGCGAAGAATTCACCCAGCTGAAAGCTGTCCAAAGCACTGTGCAAACGGAAGTTACTCGATTGCTGGGCAGCTCTGTCTTGATGACTGCATCCTCAGAGCGCGCCAAACCCTGCCTCCCCACAGCCTTCCCTACTGATGTCTGTGAGCGGGGAGAAGGGCTGACCTGGGGCGTTCAGGGCTGGGAGGACGGTGCGCAAACCTTGGGGCATTCCCCCACCCCCGCGCCTACCGGTGTCCTCGGGGAGTCTCGCCACCCGGCAGGGGAGACTCGGGCCTGGTCACCTGCTCCAAACTCAAAGCACAGCCCTCAGGAGAAGGCGTGCCCTAGCAGCAGCCCCTCCCCTCCCTTCCCCTTGTTTCCCCCTACTTCGCCCTCCCCTCCTAGCCGCGCAGGCAGGGCACGCCCCGCCCCCCCCCACAGATTCACCAATCGGCGTTCCGAGCGGCGCCGGTGGCGCCGGGGGCTGTGGTCAGCAGCCAATTAGCGCCGGGGCCCGAGGCGGCGCTTCGCCCGCCCCCTCGCAGAATGAAAGCCGCCCGCAGCTAGCTCTCCTGGCGCAGCGCGCGGGGCGCGGGAGCTGCGCGGGCCGGAGCGGAGCGCGCGCACTGCCCGCCCGCCCCCGGCGCGCCCGCCTCCGCTCCGCCTCCGTCCGAGGCGCGGACGAGGAGGCCGGGGCGGGGTAGCGCAGGGGGCAGGGCGGCGGCAGCGGGGCCGAGGGGGTGTGTGTGTGGTGGGGTGGGGGGGTGGACGGGGAGGAGCGGGGCCCGATAAAAGGCTGTGAGGCGGCCCCACCCCGCGGCAGGCCGGCGGGCAGGCTAGGCGCTTCCCTTCCGTCCGGCCCGCGCGGGTCGCGGGGAGGCGGTGCGCGCGGCAGCCCGCCCATGGAGGCTTTCCCTTGGGCGCCCCGCTCGCCCAGCCGCGGCCGCGCCCCCCCGCCCATGGCGCTCGTGCCCAGCGCCCGCTACGTGAGCGCCCAGGGCCCGGCGCACCCTCAGCCCTTCAGCTCGTGGAACGACTACCTGGGGCTCGCCACGCTCATCACCAAGGCGGTGGACGGCGAGCCGCGCTTTGGCTGCGCCCGCGGCGGTGACGGCGGCGGCGGCACCTCCCCGCCCTCCTCCTCGTCGTCCTGCTGCTCCCCGCATGCGGGGACCGGGCTCGGGGCGCTGGGGCCGGCGCTGGGGCCGCCCGATTACGAGGACGACGACGACGACAGCGACGAGCCCGGGTCCCGGGGCCGCTACCTGGGCGGCGCGCTGGAGCTGCGCGCCCTGGAGCTGTGCGCCGCGGGCCCCGCCGAGGCCGGGCTGCTGGAGGAGCGCTTCGCCGAGCTGAGCCCGTTCGCGGGTCGCGCCGCCGCCGTGCTGCTGGGCTGCGCGCCTGCCGCTGCAGCCACGACCGCCGCCGAGGTGGCGCCGCGCGAGGAGCGGGCCCCGGCGTGGGCGGCCGAGCCCCGGCTGCACGCCGCTTCCGGGGCGGCGGCCGCCCGACTGCTCAAGCCCGAGCTGCAGGTGTGCGTGTTCTGCCGGAACAACAAGGAGGCGGTGGCGCTCTACACCACCCACATCCTGAAGGGACCCGACGGGCGAGTGCTGTGCCCGGTGCTGCGCCGCTACACGTGTCCCCTGTGCGGCGCCAGCGGCGACAACGCGCACACGATCAAGTACTGCCCGCTCTCCAAAGTGCCGCCGCCGCCCGCCGCCCGCCCGCCGCCGCGCAGCGCCAGGGACTGCCAGCCCGGGAAGAAGCCGCGCTGACGGCCTGGGCTCCGGTCTGCTGCCACCGGACGGCACCAGGGTCCCCCGCCTGCTCGCTCTCATTTTCGGTCTGCGCACCAGCTTTCCCTCGCTGCTGGAGAGGCGTGGAGCTCGGCAGTTAGCTCCACTGGGGAAGTCTTGTTTTTTTGTTTTTGAAAGCAATCCGGCCGTACGGAGAGTACTTTGCTGTCGAAGAGCGGTTGAGACTAGACGCTACAATTTTGATTTATCTCTGGTTTCTAGTTTGTGCACATCCAGACGGTGAAGGCTGGGTGTGTTTCCCACTACCTGAAATCTGGCAACTTAATGGCGCTGTTTATTTACTGTATACGTCGATCTATTTTAGATGCGCATCAGTATGAATTGTCTCAATCTAATCTCGGATGTTTAATTTTATGGAGGCACTTTACTAGGTCTAGAATATTTTTTTAAAAGCCTCATAACTGAACTGAAAACTGGCGATTTTATGGAATGTCGGCAAAATTACTATTTTATTGTTTGGAAACAATATTTCTTAGTTGTCCTTAATCAGTTACTCTAATTCCAGGTGAAGCAAGCCCCTGGCAGCATCACCCTTTTTGAGAAGTGAAGGTTTAGTAAACTTTCCAGTATTAATTTGTGTGGGTATTCCCTCCTTGTGGCTTGTTTCAGACTTGGCTGGAGGTATAAAAATGCACAATCTGTAGCAGGTAGAATACAGCTCCTTATCTTTTATGTACCAGATCTTTTTATTACTAAACTAGCAACTAGCATTTCCACCTTGAAAATTTGTGCCAAGTTATAATCCTGTTGTGTATACACTTGAAAATTGGTGCTGTTTAAAGACTTGTGTATTTATACAGTAACAGTATATGAATTCATTTATCTTGCCTATAACTTTGCTACTTGGCCTTTTGTCCATGCACCCACCTCCCCATTTCCAGTTCTTTAAAAACATTTGTGACATTAAGATCAAAAGGGAACAGTATTAATTCACCCTGCTCCATTTCAGAGTTCCCAAATAGCAGAAAGCTCCTTGCAGCTGTAGCCTCTCAAACGAAATGGAAGATGCGATCCTGAGCTCTGGAAGGCTAATGTAACAACCTGTGTTCAAGAAAGTTCCACTATGGGCTTTGTCTGGCTTTAGGGAGCAAGCAGTCCTCAAACCAGAATAAGCACTGAAGGAATTAAATTGTGGAGTGGGGGTTGAAGACAAACACAGCTTCCCCCGTGCTCCCTTTTTCCCTAGAAGACCCTAGTCTGTTTCTGGAATCCCACCACTTACCACAAAGATTAGACCCTATCCTTAGACACACGTTCCTAACCCTAACTTTAGCTCCCACCCTCATTTATAGCCATGCCAGATGCCACACCATGGCTTGTAGCTACCATCAGGACAGATACAGGAGGCAAAAATGGAAGTGAATTAGGATGAATGCATATGAAATGTACAAAATACATCACTATCTGAAAATGCCAGCAAGAGACTTAGTCATACGAATACAGATTCTAGTCGCAGAGCTCAGCTCCTTTAGGCTGCTTTTGTATCAAACAGCTAACTTCCTCCACAGCAAATTGGCTTGAACACTCCTTTGAGGATACAAATAGAAGCAGAGGTCAGTAATATTGGAAGGCTGTGAGCCTTTTTGGTCAAAGGAAGGGGTGACAGAACAAGGGGGAGAGGGGCAGGTAGACAGTACGTTGGCCAAGAGAAAATCCATGCCTGCTAGTCCAGCCCCAGAACAGAGAACTCTGGATGTGACCAGTCTTAAACTCAAGGAGCTTAATAAAATCATGTGATTATTCTCTTTTGTTGTGGTAGAAAATATACCGGTTTAATTTTGGTCTTGGGGAGTTGTCAGGTCATAGAATTCCTGTTACCTCTCCTACTTCTACCTTTTCGAAGAGCACTACAATGTATTCCCCAGCTTAGAAGGACTAAGCAGGCAACTACTTTGTATTTTCAAAGAGCCAAACTGTTACACTGTGTTCTAGGTGTCAAGCACATGGCTTTGATATGTTCAATGTGAGAATCCCTCAGTGATGAGAAGTGCCTAATAGAGTTTGATATCGACACCATCAGTTTTACCAGCAACCATCACATTCATTCATCAAAAACACACTAATATCAGCCCCCCTCAAATTTGCCTGCTTTCCAGCTAATATTAAAACACTACAAGTTCAAGCATGCACAGAGTATTACTACAGTTAATCTTCTAGAGATCTCTTAGGGAAAGTGTACTAACCACACTCTAAGGCCCTTAAGAGGAACAAGCCTAGAACTCTCAATCTAAAACTTTAAGTACTTGCAAACAATTAAATTTAGGGTGTGGGGCACCTGGCTGGTTCCATGATAAAGCATGTCACTCTTGCACTTGGGAGTTGTAAATCTGAGCCCGTTGGCAAGTTGACTTTACTTAATTAAAAAAAAAAAATTAGAGTAAGAGAGAAACCCAAGTTTTAAAAGTAAAAAAAAAAAATAAAAGATTAGTATGACAAAGTTACCTTGTTTTTATAAGAATATGTCTGTATTTGGCTAAAAACAAAACAACATATGGATGGAAGCCTCGAAAGTGTTTTACCAGCTGTGCAGGTAGACTGCTTACCTTGCCTATCCTTTTCTATAGACACATTTGCAGTGAGTGGCTTTTTATTTCTTTGGAATTTAATTTTCCTACGCAGTCCTTTTTTGGAATGTGCAGAATTAACTTTGATTACAACTTTTGGCTTTAATTATAAGCCAAAATTGTCTATTTTAAAATTATACTACAAATAGGTCTACCTCAAAAGAAAAGACAGGAAGTTTGTGTTAGTCCTCACTTTCTAGTCTGTGCTTAGCCACATGAGAAACATTCCTGCATTCCTTCCTGTGTCCAATATCTATGTCAATTAGACTTGTAAGATTAGAAATGAATCTAGTCAAAATGTCTTTGGTTAAAAAAAACAGAACACAGGTAAAGCACATAAAAGCATCCCCACACATAGCCACATTACCACCACTTTCTGGAAGCCAGTAAGGACAACTAGGGGGATATAGTCTTTTCTTTAAAAAGACTTTCTATAGTCTTTAATTGCAGTGGCGTTCCGGTTTAAAAATGCAGAAGCCTCTCTCAAATAAAAATCTTTTTAAAAAGGGGGGGGGGACACCTGGGTGGCTCAGATGGTTAGGCGACTGCCTTCAGCTCAGGTCATGATCCCGGAGTCCCCGGGATCAGGTCTCACATCGGGCTCCCTGCTCAGCAGGGAGTCTGCTCCTTCCTCTGACCCTTGCACTTCTCATGCTCATTCTCTCTCTCAAGTAAATAAAATCTTTTAAAAATGCAGAAGCCGCTGGGAACATGAAGACATTCTAGACACAGTGAGTAGGCTGGACTGAACATCCGAAGTTTCCTGTGACACATGTGAATACTGGGGGGTGGAGGGGAAGGCTGTGAGGTCTTGAGTAGAAACTTAAGAGCTGGACCACAAAGTAGCAGCAGACTCTTCTGCCCCCATCCTGTGCTTGGGATTCCAACTCCTAGGACAAAGAACTTGGGGGCACAATATTTACCTGGGAAAGGGTCCTGGCAGGAAGGGTACATTTGCAGACTAACCTAACCATCAGACATACATCCATAACTCACCTAAAAAATCAGCTTAAATGAACAGTCCCCTGGGGCCATCAGTGCTGTCCTATTTTTAACGAATGGGGAGATTCAGCAGGTTACTGCCCCAAGTTTTGTCATTTATTAAAAAGAGCAGGCCCTCTCCTCAAAGACCTTTTAACATTTCCACTTGTTTGAAATACCAGATATTAAGAAACTGAATGTTGAAAAAAAGGGGTTTCTGTCACTGGTAATATCAAACAGAAAAGGCTGCATCTGATAATTTAAGTAAAAAAAGGATCAATACTCCCTCTTCTGGCCTTACTATAGCTGTACCAACAAGTATTCTCACCACCACCCAATACTGGAAATAATTTGCATACCTGTAGCCACAATCAATTTGCTACTAACATTCTCTGAAACTATTTTTTCTAATTTCAGGGGAATACCCAAAATAGTAAACCACCCACCTACCCACACCCCATGTATACAAGGCTCACAGAGAGGACAGTATTACAAGGAAACTAAGGGGTTCCTTAATTAAGGAAGGAAACATCCTAGCCATGTTTTTCTAGTTGAGTTATTTTCTTTGATTCTAAATGTTGAGACATTTAATGGCAACAAAAAAAATTTTTTTCAAAACAACAAACTCAACTGGATATGCAAACTCACCACAGTAAGTACACCACTTTGTACTACAAATCAACACTAAAACAAATTCTGTAAGTATTTTATTTATCATTGAAGAAAAAACACAGCAGCAAGTTCTGTGTTGGCTTCAATAAAACCCAATAGTTAATCTTTGACATAGCTACGACACTCCAAAATTGAAGTCAACACAGTCATTACTACAAATTACTTGTTGAAAGAATCTATCCTGAAGAGAAAGGAAATTAGGAAAAAGAATTTAAACAGTTCCTCCAAACCACACATTTATAAATATTGTCATATTTAAAATGCTTGAAAGGCATGAATTCTCCATTAATGGAAAAGCAGTCTGCTATTGGCAACAGAAAAAACTCAGCAATAGTTTTACCAAATGCTTTAAAATTTAAAAGCTGTAACTGTTTTGGATTCACACTTGAGTAGTATTCTTGTCATTACAGTAATGACTGCAAATTGCTTTATACTCACCTCTCAAGTAAAATCTACAGAAAATCCCACTGTATCCAATGTTTGTAATGTTTACTGCACTTATAGTGAACCTAAAAACTTTCTAAATGTAGTTAATATAGTAAATACCTCAAAATACCTAGAGGTACGTCTCAACCGCTAAGGATGTGGAAGTCATTTCAGCCCCTGCTTTTGAAGAATCTTCAAATACATTTTCTATAACACAACCATACCTCATTCCAAATCAATAAAGTATTTCAAAAACAAAAGAGAGAGATCAGTTCTATACCAAGATACAGGTGTTACTCCATACCCGACGGGTTCACATTTTAAATTTATTTTTTAGTTTTTCTTTTTTGTAAACAAATGATTGATGAAATAATGCAACACCTTAAATTCCAGAAAATGGCCTGGCCGTCCAACCTCCTGTGGACACAGTGCACATCAATCTATTATAGAGGATTAATACAAGTTCATGCTTTTTGTGTTACGGTGAGACAACATTAAAGAATCCAATTTAGACTGGTTGAAGCACAAGTATAATAATCCTTGAATGTGATCAAACCTATGTGAGACATGAGTCTGAATCCATTATCTTGAGATTTAACGTCGTACCGTGGTCCATCCATCTTCATCAGTCTCGTTTTTAGTACGACGAAGAGATTCTCTATCCTTCTCAGCTCTCCACGAAGCCTTCTCTTTCTCACCTTCTCTTTCCCTGTCCCGGTCTCTTTCTCGGTCTCTTGAAAGAGCTGGGGGAGGAACACGACGAGGGGCTTCCCGCTCTTCTGCCCGCTCATCTTTCCTGTCATCAGCACGCCTCCAAGAACTTACTAAAAAGTTTAATTAAAAGAAAAAGAGTAAAGTTTGTACCTTATTGTACTGGCTCAGACTAAACAGAACTTCAGCGAAAGGAATGCCTCCAATTACTCAGAAATCCTGTACTGTAGAAATAACGATACAGAATCCCCATTTAAAAAAAAAAATAAAACCTAAATATATTTTAATCATTTTGATATAATTTTTGGCAAATCCTTCAAAATAACATACAGATTTAAGAGATATAACTCAGGGGCGCCTGGGTGGCTCAGTGGGTTAAAGCCTCTGCCTTTGGCTTAGGTCATGATCTCAGGGTCCTGGGATCAAGCCCCGCGTTGGGCTCTCTGCTTGGCGGGGAGCCTGCTTCCCCCACCCCTCCCACCTGCTTGTAATCTCTCTCTGTCAAATAAATAAATAAAATCTTAAAAAAAAGAGAGAGAGAGATAACTCAAATTTGCCAACAAGAAGAAACCACTGGCCTGGGAGGTGTTCTAATTGTCACAATAATTTAAGATAAGGTAACAAAAAATCTGAATGAAAACTTTAAAATAAAAAAAACCTTTTGGATCTTGTTGAAGAAATCATAATACCAAAATGGCCATTAGCGTACTTTACAGATATAAGAAAAACCCTTGTAATCCCCCTGTACAAATGAAAAAAGTTTGTGAGGTAACTACTTAGTTAAGTGCAATGGCCATTTTCAACTTTAAAACTTTTTTTTTTTTAAACTCAAGTTTCAACTATCACAATTTCAGAGTAAGAAAGTTTTACACTTTATGCTTATCTACCAAGATCTTACTTTTAAACAACTGACAAACTATTTCCTAGTTACATAAACTTCTAAAGCAATATATACCACTTACCCTCCAATTAGCCTACTACTCTACTTTCAATTTAGGTATGAGCTACTTTACAAGGGGACTACGAAATTTATGAGAACTGTCAATTTTTTTAAACAATTTATTTATTATCTGAGAAGGAGAGAGGAAGCGAGCTGGAGTGAGGGGGAAGTG